TGGATGACCATGTCACACAACACATATTTCGATGATTAAATACATTTATTCTTTTCATTGATGTCAATGACCAAACAGGTGGTGAACTGGTGAACTCCGCATCGCCGCATCACCATCTTTGTTCCAGGAGGGTAAATATGATGAAGGAACCATGGGAGGAAACCGCACAGCTTTGAGTGACCATATGGGCATGATATGGATCCTGGATGTGGCTCACAAAAGAAGGCAGCTCGTAAAATCCCGTTCTCCATTTAGCCGGGGGCTTTGGAGTTACCCAATGTTCGAGCCATTTTAGGTTTGAGCTTCGTGTCACTGTTCAGGCCTCATCGCTCGAGAGCTCCTGCATTCCCCCAGATGAGGGCCCCCAGCTGCTGGAGTGTCACTCGCAGCGGAGTGAGTCAGCTGGAGCGGTGCGAAATGAGGATGAAAAAGTGATTCGAACACACCACTGTTTAGACGTGAAACTGTTGGGAGGTTAAGGACATGAGAGGTGCCCACAATTCTGTGAAGCTCTGAATGTCACCTGCTTCAATGGAAAGCTTTGAATCAACAATCACACTCACTGCTGTTGGCTATTTCACTATACTTGATGTGCAGCCCACGGAGCCAATGACCCTCTCTCCTTTCAAACCCTGTGCTTTGTAGAATAAGCTCCTTTGAAGAGTAACTTATGGTCACACCGTTCACACCCCAAAAAGCCTGGTCGGCCAGTGGGCCAGGGCCAGGGTAGGTCAATCAGAAGGGCGGCATCTGCATCTTGCTGGCGCTGCTCTTCTCCAATAGTGGAGAGCTTCAAAAGCTAGTCTAGCAGCTAGTCCGAGTGCCGTTTTTGAGTATGTTAATCAACCCCTACAGTGTGCTATCCAATTATTTCATGAATTATAGTTATATAACTATATAATTATATACATGAATTCACAACTTAGAATGCGGTGCAAGGAAGCCACTTGTTCCGTCCTGCTGCAGTCTTCGAGCTTGAATCTTCTCTGGCAATACAGCGCCTGACTTAGTCCACAAACATCCATCTCACCCATCACTCAGCCAGCGGTGTTTTAGAAAAATGACGGTCAGTTGGGCGGTTTCATCTGTTTTTGACTTGTTTTTCACACACACCAAAAAAAGAACTCACAAGCAAAACCCACATCCTTCCGGCCACTCCGACATGCCCTTCGTCCGTCCGGACCACCTTCTCGTCCGGACTCGTCCAGAAACTCCATCCGTCTCCGGATTTCCGGTGGTGACACCAGGCGTCGCCTGCTAAGCGCCAGTGGGGTGACTCTGAAGGCCACACGTCCAACCTCGGCGAATCCGACAGGCAGGCCTTCCAGGCGCCGACCCAGAACCCGGAAGAAAAGAACGGTTTTGGGGGGCCAAACGTCACACCGACAAAAGGAGTCCAAACCGCCGGAAAAAAGAAGCGCTACATGCCAGCGGTTGCGCGAGGTGCTACACGGATCGTCTCAAGATGGGTTATTAAGGTTTTGGAGTGCCAGAAGTACGACAAAACACCATGACTCGAAAAAGCAACGCCAAAATCGCAGGGTTTCAGAGCTCTCGAAGCAATCTTCATCTTCTCGCTCTTGCCCGCAACTCCGACACTCCCTCATAGAGCGGGACCGGTCGCAGCTGGTGGTGACCACTTCGCATGGCACGCGGTGATCAAAACCGCGGGTCGCTGGTAGGGAGATGAGGCAGATGAGGCAGATGAAGAGTCGAGGAAAACCAAGGTGGCCATGGGGGTCGAAGTAGAGAGAAGAGAATGACCCGCGGAACTTGAACGATGGGCGGCCGCACGCCATGGTGGACAGTGCATGCAGCTGCTCAGCAGAAGACCCCTGCGAGCGCGTTGGTCCGCGCGGGCTGAGCGGGGTCCGTTCCGGAACGCCAATGATGGTGAGGAAGATCGGTGAGGGTGACATCCAAGTCGACTCATGTTTGAATTTGAATAGGAAAAGCCCAAACCACTTGATATGGTTCCTCTAAAATGTCTGTTTGGACCAAGCAGCATCCACCACATTCCAAAGAAAAACCCATCCAAAACCCGTGGGGCAGTCCCAATGGATTTGCCCAAGTCCCTCTGTCCTTGGCTTGACTCTCACAGTCTGACTCTCTGACAACCTCCCGACCGCCTCCAGTTCGTGCATGATCTCTGCCTCTGAAGAGGCGCCGAACGTCCAGACAAAAATAGATATATAAATCAAACAAACATAGAAACGTTCAATTTACTTTCTCCATCGGAATCGCTGCGAGGCACGGATATTTGTGCCATCTGCTTTTTTATCAGCAAGAATAAGTGGCTTGGAGCTCTGCGAAACAAGAACTGAAGCGCTCCAGAATGTCTGCTCCAAGATCAATGGTTCTCAAGAGTCTTGGTGAGTATGAGTCGAAGAAGACGTGTGAAGAAGGAAAATTGCTTGGGGAGACACACTAGAATGAAAACACCTCAAGAATATGAGGAGGGGTCTGAGAACCTGCAACTGTCCCGGTGCGCACCAGATCAACCCGCCCCAAACCTCCAAACCTCCGGGGCCCCTGGCCACGTCCTGGCGAGCACTGTTGGCATAGTCCAAGAAGGGCACGCTCGTGGCCCTCCTGACGGCGGATAGCAAGGACGGTCGCCCGGGGTCGGCAGACGCCGCCGAGGCCAGATACGGAGAACCCCGGAGGTGCCGGTACACCTTGTCCAGGGCTGTCCAGACATGCAGATGGCCATCCCAAACCACGGCCGTCTAGCTCTAAAGTTGGGACGGAAGTACAAGTCAGTTGGGGCAATGGCAACAGATGTTCAGTGGCCACACTGAGGTGTCCTGTGAAGCAAGATGGGGAGTCCTATGCTTCGAGCGAGAATAGCAACGGCGCTGCTCTAGTTTTAATTCGGAAGGACTTAGCAATGCATGCGAGGTTGGAGTTGGGCCGAACTGACCCAAACTCATTTGCAGATCAGCCGTAAGACTCAGCAGAAGCAGCAATTGTGAAGCGAGCGTACCAATGTTCATGTCAAATGTCACCAATGATTGGCCAATCTCTAGTACATGCCAACCCCAATAGCACAGCCGGTTTGCATCATGGAGGACGTGTGAATCAAGACCCACAGCCCAGAATATTCCATCTCAAATTGGGAAAAATGTATTTTAAACATGTTTAAAGAGAGGGGACAGAAAGGCTTCCTGTTCCCAAAAGGTAAACACCCCCCAAAAAGAGAAGGGAACATGATGAGTTTTCGCCTGCTGGGGGCAGGTGGAACCGAGGCCCCCCGCCTCTCGCTGCCACGACCTCACACGAGTAACGCAGAGGTTTCCGGGTGGTGCACGGTGACCGTGAAAACTGCCAGACGCGGGGCGGGGGAGAACACGCTGCAACTGCTGCTGGATCTCCAGATGTTTTTTGGTGTTTTTTGTTTTCAAAACACTGCTCATTCTCCATCGCTGCCCAGGGTATCCATTGGCCCGGCACATGTTTTGCACAAAAAGTGACTTTTGCCCCTGGGGACATTGGGGCTCAAAGGCCCTTGTTTTGGAGGGTCCGGATCCTGAGGGTACTAAATCTACCGAGGCTTGGGGGAAGAGAGTCAATGGATTGCCATTTGTCAAATGGATGATCTTCTAGACTCTAAAAACACGTGCTATGTGCCAAACCAAATGGCATATGATCGTCTTCGCATCCCTTTCTGTCCAATGCTGCGTGCATGCTTCGCTCGCTTCGCTCCCCACTCTGACTTCGTGCCAATGCAACTTCATGTCCATGACCCTTTGTCACAATTTTGTGATATTTTGAGTGTCTCTTGACGACATGTCGAGTTGACTTCACTCAGTGATTGCCCCTTTCACTCACTGTCTTGTATGCATGCAGCTGGAGCGTTCACTGTGTTGGCTTACGTACCTCATCATTTGTTCACACTTGGTGGCCCAACATTTCTGAAACCTGTAGTGCCTGTGATGCCAGCAACGCTAGTGACTATGCTGGTGTTGCCACGTCACGTATCGCATGTGCATGCTTGTCAACCTGACGCTTCTTCCTTGCGCATGTCTTTGTTCAGCTCCAGTACAAACGATTGCAAACCGACAGCCGATGCTTTGGTCATGGCAGCCATGCCTTCCTTCCACTCGTTGTTCTCCCGCACGCACGGCCGCTTTCGCCGAGCCACGAAGGAGTGAGCGCAGCGCGCGCCGCTGAAGAGCCCGCATGCCGCGGGAGCTCCAAGCACGGAGCCTGGGCATGGCGGCCACGAGGACAGTCGACCTGCGATGGGCCCAAGGAGTGGGATGAGAATTTGAGAAACACTTCAAGTCACGAGACTTGGGGAGGCCAACTTGGGGAGGAAAGAAAGAAATGAAACTTGGAAGACAATTTGCAATGCTATGTACATGTGTGATCTGATATGTGTATGGGGGGCATCCTGCCAGCAAAGGATCTCTGAGAAAGAGCTGTCAATAGCCATATAGTTCTTTATGCGAAGCTCTGTGTGCTTGATCCCATTGATGAATTGCACAGACCTGGATCAAGTTCTTCCGCAGGAAAAGGGTCAAACAAAGAAATCCTTCATAGCTTCTTACTATTTTGGAGATACGTGATCACAACCCCAAAACCCTGATCTAATCCATCGCTCCACACTGGAAACCCAATTCTCCGACCACGGGCGGTGCAACTCACGGCTCCCGCGTTCCTTTCGTTCCACGTCCCGCCACCAGAACGCCCATCCACATCCTTCACTGAACGGTCACCGAACACCGAACCATCCGATCGTTCATCCGATTGTTCAGACAGAAGGCGTCAGCTGGATTCGATGTTCGAAGGGTTCTGAAGGGTTCTGAAGGTTCTGGAAGTGCTGGATTCGATTTTCCTTTTAAAAAAATAGTAATAGTAATATAACAAAAAAAATAATGCCGGCCCTTCTGAAACTCGCACTGAAAAAGGTCCTTCTATGATCACGTTCATGTTTGCATGGCCACGGTGAGGGGATCCCAAGAAAACCGCCACAGTTCTTTCTGCGATCGGATCTGTTCTTTTTGCCGCATCTCCTTGCTCAAACGAAGATCTTTGCTTCAGTGGACCACGACAGCTGTGGACCCCGTCAGATGGATCGCGATCGATCGCGATCGAGTCGGCGCGCAGTTCGGCGAGGTCCGGCACGTTTTATGGGGCTTTGAAGAGACCAATGGCCACCAGGAGCCAGAGGGCCAGCAAACATGGCATCAAATCCCACAGATTCTGGTGCTGTAGAACTTCAAAAGAATAGCTAACTCCTAGTCCAAGTGAAATCATGGATATGATCAGTACAGGAGATACCACTAGGGTCGCAGTGACCTGTGAGCATCGGTTCAAAAGGTGAGAACCCCACTTACAAATCCGCAGGCCCAGCCCAATGCTGAGGATGCACACTGCAACGTCTTGCAACCAATACAATGAGGTCACAGCCAAACATCTCCAGAGAATGTAGAACACACCTCGATCATCTGGCATGGGAGGTGCCCTTGCATATACATCACCTCCCAGCGGAAACGTCACCAGACCACACAGAAACGGTGCTGACATGGCCAGCGACAAGTACATCGAAATGCGGAAGGGCAGAACCGCGCTTTCCGCCCCTTCTGACACCTGGCTGCGAAGAGTGGTGCGCACGACCTCGTCGAAGCGATCTAAATGTTCCTCTTCTTCATCTTCATCCGCTCCATACCATCGCTTCACAGCATCATAGACCAGCTGTCTGTCACACATCAAGGTCTCCCCGGTCTCAGGATCTTGGTGGCCACAACTGCAGCAGAAGCACTCGGAGTTTCGGATGGAGAAGCATCGGAATTGATGATTAAGCCCGCGGACCTCTTTCATCAACCCCAAAGCGATGTAACAGTATACCGGGCCAACAAGCACGTTCACCACAAGCCATACAGTGGTAAGCAGGAGGACATACCCACCACTGCCAAAGGTGAAAACAAATAAAATCACAGCGGTCGCCTTGGAATCTTGCAGGATATTGTCTTTCACTAATTTGACTGGGCTAAAAAATCAGACTCCAAAAGGGAAGTCAATGAAGCTCTTTGATTGAAACGAGGACTGAGAGCTTTCTGGGATTGAAACCTCCAAACTTGGCTCAAGTGGCAAATGCCAGCTTCATCGCCTCCAGGATCATGACCCATGCCATGGAGACGGGAAACAGGGTCACCAGCTTCGCTTTACCATGAACACGCAGGAAGGTAGCCACCTCGTAACTACACCAAAGACCTCAGTCTTTTTGGATCAAATGTGGGTGAAAACATTTTTCATAGAATCATATACAGTATAACTATCTATACTGTATATATATATATATATATAGAGAGAGAGAGTTATATGCTATAATCTGTACTGTACGTATCTACACACCTGGGAGTTCCACGGAACTGCGACGACAAAGCAACCTGAACAAACATGTTTGTTGAAGTGCAAAAAAATGAAAACCCGACACCAACACGTGAAACACGTGTCTCTTTCTCGCTCTCATCGAGGGGACGTGTCAGGTATTGCGACGACCACATGATGACCATGCTTTCCGAACGGTCCAAGAAGGCCGCCAGGCCCCGGATGCCTTTCGCCTTCCGAATCGGATCGCGTTGCTCGATGCAGAGCTTGTCCAAGAAGACCATTAAGGGTCGGCAGCTGCGAAGGCGCTGCCAAAAGCACATGAAGAAGAGAAAGACCAGGTAGGGTGTAAAGTTCACCAGAAACATGCCTGGGCTGAGGCGTGATTGTTCAGAAATCTACAGTAGAAGTCTCATCAACCTGCCGCAAAAAGACTTAGACAAAGTTTAAACGTCATCAACTTGCAAAGCATTCCGCTTCGACAAAGCTGCTCACGCTCCCATCCTCATACACGGCGCCCGTACCTTTGCAAAGGCCCACTGTGATGGCAGCAAGCAAGGTGGTGATTGTTGCTGGTCGAAGGTTGAAGAGGATCAGCATCGTCAAAAACTTGGACCATCGACCGGTCTTCCTCGAAAAGGCGAATACATGCGAATACGCGATATTCAGTCAGTGCCTTGAAAGGAATATCAGACACCAAGGTATCCCAACAGTGAAAATACCGCCCGGAAAGAATGAAAAAGCCGAAAGAGACTAAGACAGGCTTCAAGACACCACAACCATCAACAATCTAGGCATTGAACAAGTCTGCATTTGGGTAGGGTTTTCGAAAAATTGTGGGCAAGAACACCAGGTGTTGGTCGCTCATGTTAGGCGCATATCGCGCGCGATGTTTGGGGGTAAGCCTCATGTAGACTGAATAAGACCCCCCACATGGAGATGTACAACCGTCTTGCTAGCGGGGGTTCATGAGTCAACACAAATCAAGTAATTTTGCCAAAGACATGTCATTGCGGGCTCCTGCCCCTCACAGGAGTAGTGAAACAAAGACCCAAAGAGTCCAAAATGGCCACACCCAGGGTGAAGCACGGTGAAGGCCTTTGAAACAAGCATGCGTTTCCACCTCTTCTTTTGAGTCTGAACTCGACAGGTGGGGCGATGACGGGGAGCGCTGAGCTGGAGCAAGCGTCCAATCATGGCTCAAGAAGTGATGGTATCGCGTCACTTCCACACTCAAATCATGGCCTTTCTCGGTCTCGTAGGTACTGGTCAAAGATGGTCTCACCCAATGCTTACCTTGAAGGAAGGATTGAACAGTTTAGACAAAGGATCAAAAGGGGGCAAACAGCTCCTACCCTTTTGCATGGCTTTAAGAAAGAACACCAACACCATCAAATGCAAAAAAAGTCCATGAACGCCCCGTCACCCCAGCCACTCAAGGTTGTACTGAGTGAGACTGCTCGCACCAAAGCTGCTTCTACTTCGGTGGCCAGCTGCACATTCGAAAGCCTCGACACCTTGGGACCGCGCGGGCCACCGTCGGTGTCGCCGTCGTCGCACGCAGCCGCGACCGTCGTCGCCCGCAGCGACCAGGCCGAGGGGTCGCTGGAGAGAGAGAAGTCCTCGTGATCGCGATCCATGGCGACATCGATCGTGGAAGATGGGAGGAGCGCAGCCGAGGATCCCGGTCCCGACACAATAAGGATGGCAGGAGCGAAACGGATGAAACCGATTAACAGGTCGCACGCTGTCGGCCATGCTGTGTGAAGAAAGAAGGAAAACTATAGACATGGTTGGCTGCCATGGGAAAAATCGCCCACGCTGCGAGCCAAAAACAAACGGTTCATCGCCGATGAAGCTCGCAAGAACGTAAAGTGCTTGACGCTACATGATGCTTGGAACTTGTTCCAGAATCACTATACCGGATCTTAGTAAAGTGGAACCTGCCGAAAGGGCCAAAAGGGAAGATTCCAATCAGGAACACTTGTGTTTTCCACACATGTCTTTTGGCCGTTCAAGCCATGCCCAGTCCAAGGAAATCTGGTCTAGAAGTAACACAAAACAAGATCCTTTTGACCAAAGTGCAGTTTGCAACCCAACACTGAGCAACCCAACACAGCCTGCACACAAACATCTAGATGAGTAAATTAGGCACCATGAGTTTTTCTTCAGAAACCTCTTTTGACTCAGTGATGCAAACATGTCCACCGAGACAGCTTCATTTGTAAACCTTCATTTCCCTTGGCATCTTGAGAGGTGATCTGAAAATCAAGCCGACAAGCCGCATTACCTTCATAAGAACTGTTCTCACTTGACTGCGAGAGTGTTGATGACCCTTGCGAGGGTTTCAGTCGGATCTTTAAGTTCAGCACCTCTCCCTTATCGTCATCCAATTACCAGCTGCCTTGTATTTCGACGATCAGTGTGCCAACAGGAATGCACTCGGAACTGACAGAGCAACCTCTGGTATTAAAAAAACACAAGAAGAGTGTCAGGTTACTCTTCCTGGATAGTCCAACTAGCCTAAGTGGGACACATTCAGTGTCAAAGCAACAGCCTATGATGCTTTCCTGGGCACCCTCCGTATTCGTTCGAGAGAACCCACTCGCACCGAACGGTAGCAAAGCTGGACCACTTGCACCCGAAGGAAGGGATAGACGGAGCACGAAAAGACTGTCCAATTCACTGATCGTGGGTGATACGAACCACGTCCCCACGTCCCATCGGACGGCAATCTGAGAATCCCGGGCATCACGTCTGCGGGCATACAGAACGCGCCCACACAGAACGCGGCCGCTTTGCGCGGCGGCGTGTGGCAACAGCTTTGGGCTGATGTGACTGACTTGAGTGACGAGATGCGTTTTGCTCCGTCTGCTGGTGCATCAATCCGAGTCTGTGCAGTCAGCTTTGTGCCACTAGAGCAAACCGAAAGACCAACAAAGTCGATTGAACGGTTCCTAGTTCATTCGGGCTATATGTTGTAGCATCCATGGCCGTTATCATGAGTCAGAAAACACGGGAAAATATATGTTGCCTTTGTGTGTGCGTGTCCGAATTTCGTACTTTCTCGAAGCATGGTTGCGCGGATGACTGGCGTAGGCAGAGGCACTGGTGTGGCTGGCGCATTTGTGCCTTCATTCACCACATTCTTTGGTCATGTTCCAGCCAAGCCACCAGGCCAATCCCCAAACAGTTTGTCTTTGGCTTTCCAGCCCAACACGCCATCATATCATGCACAGAAGGCTTTTGAACCCAAAAAGGCAGGAAGGCAGACCTTGACGACACGCTTTATATACCTCACTTCGTGACGTAGGAATTGGATTGCAAATCATGCTACAGAGGGGCCACTGGTTGAGAATCTGCAAATGAGTTAATCATAAAGGGTGTGGAATTTGCAACGTCGGTTTTGAAATGTGGGTTGCGTTTTCCCAGTCAGTGTTGATGAGCAACAGAACAAGAGTCTTGCTGTGAGCAACGCTGAATGGATTGAACAAGCAGTTCTTCAATGAGCACAAGCCTTGGGTTCATCCAAACAAGTGCGCCTCCAAAAGTAATCCGTAAACGAGCTAGTCCGAAAACGAGCTAAAATCCGAGCAACCGGTAATCCGTTGTTATCTGTAATTCTTACGATCCATAATCCGACCCAGCCCTGGCTTGGCCACGGGAAAACATATGTGTACATCATCCTCAAACATGAATATCATTGGAGACTTGTTTGATGTCCTCGGGGGAAGAGCACTTTGCAAACCCATTCAAGCAAACCACCTTATGGTCCATCGAACCACCTTCGGTATCAATCCTCCAAGTCTGAGAAATCACCCACAAGAAACTGCCACTCGACGCTTCGGCGATTCCATCCCGGCAAAATCTGCCACTTCCGATCCATCGCAGAAAACCTTTCCATCGCTTCTGGATCGGATACAACTCTCGAAGCCCTGCCAGTTCAAGGCTTGTTGACCATCGCTGTGGAGTGAGGCTTGTTGACCATCAGAAAACCATCCAAATACCAAGACCTTGCTGACCCATATATAGCCCGTGGCCGCTCCATCCTTCCCTCACCGTCCTTTTTCACACAAATCTTCAGGTCGCGGCGAGTTGAGCATCTTAATCATCTTTCTCGGGCTTGAAAAGCGCGTGGAAATATAGGCCATGGATTTTTGAGACAACGGTGTATCTGTAGATATCCATAGTTACATGTGTATAGTATATACTTTGGCCTTGCTCAAAAGTTCAGAGCTGTCAGCCTCAGCTTCAGAGGGATCTCGCCAGTGCTGCTATGGGATACGGTCAGTTTTGGCCAAACCACAAGGAGGCATGGCCGAACAGCATCTTGCGCTTCAGATGGCCAATGACAATCACTGGTCCACACTGCTGTCAGCATTCCTCTCCCGAAGCACTTTTTGGCGTTTGGGCCAGCCACAGAGTGGAGTAGTCAAGGTTACGAGCCACAAGGGTCAGGTGACAGTCAAGAACAAAATTAAAGTTCAAAAGCAGAGTTCCAAAATGTTCCAAACTCATACCAGCAAATCTAGCCCTTGTAACCGGTCGACTCGTCATGATGCCTGCTGACAAGCTTGAACAAAGAACCGCACAAAGGCGAAGTCTTGGCAACAAGTGATGCCCAGACACTTGGTCCATGTATGCTCCGGACGGCGCCCCATCTTAATTACCCAGTCAAGACTTGGCTACCTACTATTCAAAGGTCCGTCTAAATCTTTTTATACACATGGTACAGGTAAAGAAACAATATCCAATAGCTGTACAAGGCCCGTTCCACAGCGCTCCTGGTTCTGTGGCCGCAAATTCCGTTGGCAGCTCTCGCTCGAACCTCCGGCGCTGGCCGTGATGTGTGGCACACGGGCTGGGTCTTGGCAGCTTTCGCCGAGACCGCCGGCATGCCCGGCGGCTGCTTCCGGTTACACGCAGTTGTCGACCAAGGCCCACCTGTGGCCTTGGAACGCTGAACGCAATCATGCGATCACTGCGGTGTGCAGTAGTGCACAGGTTCCTCTCTTCAGATTTTGGATGTTCGGATCCAGTTCCTTTCGCCGTGCGCAGCTTCCAACCTGGGCCTTCCTGCCTGCAAGACATGTTGCTCTGGCTCGAGACCTACACATCGGATGCGTCCATCACTTGAGCATCAACCCAGCCGGCCCGGTCCGCGAAAAAGAAAGAAAGGCGTGTCATGGTCATCCAATACCACATCCAAAAGTGTTCGGACCTCGGATGGCCCAAACGAAGTGTACATCTTTTTGGGACATGCAAACATCACATGGAGGCGCTGCCAACCAAAAAGCATTGCCCCCAGTTTGCCTAGTTCAAGGAAGCCGACGTAGCGCGGAAAACTTCAAGAGTAGGAACTGCCCGAAATCTTGTCAGGACACCTGGAAAGACTTCTCCACACTTCGCAACGGTGCCAGCTTTGGAAAAAACGCCTGCGCAGCTTCCCATGCCACTGCGGTTGATGCCTGTGAGGCTTGTGGGACCGACCTGTTTGACTCCTTCAGAACGCGCAGAACCGCGCTGCTCAATCGTGCTTGTCCCCTTTCAGCTCTGGCCATTTGACCCTCCAATCTTCTCGTTGCCTGCATTGAAGCTTCACAGTCCACCAATCTTTGATCACTTAGACCTACTTGAGAGGAGGGAGACACGAAAGGTAGGACAGCGGGAAGAGAAGAGAACGCGAGAGGCAGGAACAAATGCAATGTTCGACATGGTGATTTATCCCCTCGGAGGCGACCTTTCGTAAATCGTACATATATGTTCATATGCACTCTAAATGTTCAAACATATGCTCTCGAAATGTTCTAAAAGATTCTTAGGAAAACAAACTTGCCCCATGGATCAGATCATCGGTGAGCATTGAATCGGAGCATCACAGGATTTGAACTATCCTGAAACCATAAGAGGCTCACGAAGACGCTCCCCAGGAGAGAATTGACGTGCTTCACAAAACAAACTCTAGGTATGTATCCCCTCGGGAACACCTTTCGTGATTAGAATTTCATATGCACTCTTTCTGAATGTTCAAGAGGGTTTCAACTATCCTGAAATCATGAGAGGCTCACGAAGAGGTTCTCCAGGAGAGAATTGAATTTAGAGGGGGGGGGGTCTTATTGAAAAATCAATTCCAAGGGGGCGGGGGGGGTCTGTATTGAGAAATCAATTAGAGGGGGGGGGGTTGAATTGAGTGATCAATTATTAGACCCGGACGTCCCAACACTTGCTTCGCAAGACAAACTCAAGGTATCCCCTAAAGGGCTACCTTTCGTGAAATGGTTCATCTGTTGGAAGAGGTGAACGAACACCTGAAAGACCTTACCCAAGTCTGCTTTGTCAAGCGCGAAACCACATTGAACCCCTGGAAACCCACATGAGACAAACGACCGAGTCATCATTGCCGCATTCATGATTGGCAGTTGCATCCCTGACAAATGAATTGAAAAATGCTTGGCAAAACTGGCCGACGAACGGCTACGCACCAAGCAGCTGAGTGTCGAAAGTGTTTGCAAAACGATTTCCCAGTGCGTTCAAACAACTTGGTCCTTCACACACAAGCAAGAGTGGACTGTCTGACCTGCCATCGGTTTCTCAGACGAAACAAGGGCTTCAACAATTTGTCGTGCTCCATCAAAACCCTGACAAGCAATTCATGCGATCTGCGGGTTGAGAAAATGGGGCCCGGCCAGTCATTCTGCGAATCTGATTTGCACCAGTTTTTCAAGATGACAGCCTGGTTCGTGGCATGGAATCGCTTTTGGCACGGACAAAATGCTTCAATCGCCCAAGGGTTGGGATATGTGAGCCGCAGCGGTCCGCTTCGCGGCGGCGAAGCCCAACGGAGGCTATGGATGTGGCACTGGCCTTCGAGCAGCTACATGACCTTCGGGCACAGCACCGGCCTCGGCAATTGAGCGACACTGGCGTGCGAGTGAGCGACACTGAGGGACTCGTGGACACTGCGGCTGAAGAAGCTGTCATGGGTAGTCAGGTCTATGCTGCTTTGAAGGAGGAGCTTCGACCAACTTCAATCACCTGTGGCCTTGCGTCTGTTGCACAGGATACAGTTGCTGTTGGTGTGCATGACTTGCAACATACGCCAACCACATGCGCGACACAGGAACATGGTTATTGCGTGACAGCAACCCGCCTTGGAACACAAAAGGTCCAAACTGCGTGTGGCACAGCGACAAAGCACCCAAAGAAGCCCACTTTAATTGCCTAACCTAACCTCATGTTCTCTGGTTCTTCCACAGCCTTTCCAAGAAGTGTCATTGACAACTGCTCTGTGTCTGATCCCTAAACGACAACAAGCCCTCAGAGACCAGCATCCTATAGGGAGACAGAGGGAGACAGGGACAGGAGTGAGAGGGAGACAGGGACAGGAGTGAGACGCACCTTGGCAACAGCATCGCTCCTCAGAGCGCCCCTGTTGTCAAATGTCCTTCCTTGACTATATAGTTTCCTAAATCTATGTTATTAGATTATTAGAATGGTATCAAGTTCTTTCTCCTTTTCCTACCACAAGGCCACATCACAAATCTAAATGAATCGAGAGGCTTCTGCCCGGTGTCTGTTTGCTGAAGACACGGGCTGGCCTTCTCGAAGTGGCCAGTTGCAAGGGCCACCGGAAAGGGCAGGAAAAGTAAGAACGATGATTTCCCTGATTTACCTCCCTGATTTACCTGGCAGCCTTCTAACAACTCTGCTGATTCACTCTGTTTTGGCGGCTCTACTTCTGGGGGTGTCCTAGGCTATCTATGCAGCATGTACATGGATGGGTGGCCAGTGGTCAGGTAAGTTCGAGGAGTCATCCATTGTAACTTATTGCGCCTTCGCCAGTGTCTCTCTGCGGTCCAAACCTTTTTGGGCCTTCCAGAGATCTGGCCGCTTCAATCAAAGCTCACACTTGAGTGGTGTGAGGAGCTCTATCAAATTTGTTGACTCGCAAAGCTTCTTGCCCGGATCTTTCAAGATGATTCACGTGACCAACACGATACAAAATGTTGGAAGTTCAATGTGGTCACTTCCTGATCGAAGAGCTTCTCATGACGGGACAAGAAGGCGGCCCATGGGTGTTACCCATCGAAGCAAAAGTAACAAAATAGAGACTCATAGACTCATATGACTTCCTCGAGCCAAAAATGATATATAACAAATTCACAAGGACATGGATTGACAATTCCAACGCTGTGAGTTCCTAGTTGGTTTCATGAGATGTGCTGACTCATGGTCAATTGCCTTACATCAACCAAGATGGTTTTGTTTCCATGGTTCAAGGCTTTGGCAGGGGACCAGCCAATAGCCTCTACACATTGAGACACACCCAAAGTTGCAAAACCCGGGATGTTCGCATCACATCTCTTGTTGTCGCTCTTTTCGCCATCTGGTCTTCATCAACTGTCTTTTCAGGTATTTGTTTGACCGGTATGTTTCCAACACCGGAATTTGTTCAACTTTAAAAAATACAATTCGAGAGCGCCCAAATGTATATATTGTTTCAACCCCAAAACAGTTTGTTTGAGTTGAAAAGTTTTTTTCTAGCCCCAAAAAGGTTTTTTGATCTGAACTCTTTCTTGTTGGACAGAGTTTGCTTTCTGTGAAAGTTCAAGTGCGAGGAATGGCTCACCACATGCACCTTTGTCCAGAGGTTTTACTTTGTTTGAAGTGTTGTTTCCAACTCAGGTCCCTGAATTCAGCACTATGACAAATCGATTTGAACGGGACCAAGCAGTGGGCCAGACTTGGGGCAGACCTGTACTCTGATCTGTCGTGATTGGCTCCGGTCCAAGATCGTGCCCTTGCAGGAACCAGCATGTTTGACTACGCGATGTCTATTCGTGATAAAGGTGAAGGTGCAACAAATGATATATATATATATATATATGCACACGCGCGCGCATTTACAGGGCATGGCGAAAGGAGAAACCATCTTGGAGAAACCCTTCCACAGGAATGGTGCCCAGGCATCCCCGACCAAAGCATTATTCAGAAAATGTTGTTGGCAATGGCCGGCAACTTGCACTGAGTGAACGCAACACTGGCTGTATCTTGGGTACTTTAGTCAGTGAGCGGGACGCTGCTGAATCATAAGAATAGTTCAGCCAGCAATGACAAAGTGCCTCTATTGCAGTACTTGGCACATTCCAAGTTCTTCTTTCTCGATATCTTGGCCGGAATTCGGGGAAGAATTATGTTTCTCTTCCTTCAACATAATTTCTTTCGCACACCGCACACTCACCCTGTAGACCTAACAAACATCTGAGAAGAACAAACAACTGAGATGAAATAGCACAAGATCACAAAACAATATTCATCCCAATGACTGCCTCCTCACAGAATTCCCTCAAATCCCAGGCCGACCCTCCAGAACCGCCTTTTTACATCATCCCGGTCGAAGCACCGTGATTGATAGCAACACGTGTGCAGCAGCTCTTGAAATGAGGCACAGTATGGCACAGCGGCATATTTGCTTGGTCTCTAAAGTGATGGACAGCAAAGCCACTGCCGGTCCATGCTTCAACAAACTCTTTGCTGTCACGAGGTGCTCTTGTCTTGGAGCTGGAAGCCCATCTGTCGGGAACAATTTTGCCTTCTTGCATACTGTACTGATGCTTTTAAAACCTATCAAAGGCAATCTGAGTGCTTCCCTCAATCCAAGCTACAAAAGGTCAATGCAATATTGCATGAATATGGTGTGGCATGAAGAAACTATACAACTCTATCTCGGTAAGCCACTAGCAGGAGCGACTTCTCTTCGAGTCGTTCTTTCAAACTCCCTGAAGCACATGAATTGTCAAAGGTTCCTCACTCCGGCCGGCAGCGGATTCCGCAAAGCTAAAGCTGACTGGAACCTTCTCTCGCACGTCCGCCTCGATCTAGGCAGTGCGAGAGGTTTGTTACAACTTCAGCGAAGGGGCGCTTAGAATGCCATCCAACTGCACAAAACCACCCTTACCAGAATGGCTTTACATGTCCGCAGGAGGGCTTATTCATCAACAGTCAAGATTATGCCCTCAGAGCTGTTGGGGCCAACATGAGGAAGGTGGCCTCTCAAGTCTAATTGCGCCATTCTGAGTGAATGAGTGAGTGAGTGATTGAGTGAGAAAAACCAAGCACGAGTGCGACGCATCCAACCTTCAGCCGCCGAGTCGGACCCAGCGCGGGTAGCAGCAATGGTTTTGAGGTGACCAAGCGACACTGCGCGGAACCAGCGTCAGAGTTGGTGAGAAATCCTTTAACCTGCGAAGCTGGGATTAAGGTTTGGAGTTTAGGGTGCTTTGCGAAACCGAGGTAGTTGAAGTTTGTCCTCCTTCTCACTTTGTCACTTCAGCTGCTTGTGGTGTCCGTTGCACCTATAGAAGCAGCTTCCGTCTTGACTCACCTTTAAACCACTTGACACTGACACCCGTATCTCGGGGCGCTCTGCTGCCTGCAGTGACAAATTCATCGCCTGGAGGCTGAAGTCTGACTTGTCTGACGTGCAGAAGAGCGGTTCGTTTCTTTATTGATGTTCATCTGGTGATCGTGGCACAGAAAAGGTCGGTTCCATTTTCAAGCAATGTAACGCATATCTTTCTGCTTCTTTTTTTCAGAATGTGAGTGTATGTGTTTGCTTCTCCTGCAGGAGTCGGTGAACCTTTGGCGTGCTTGAGGATGTTGTTTTCTGCAAACAACCCCAACACGTGTGACTTGAGACCGTGTCAAAAGAAAGAATGTGTGAATGAAATGGAATGAATATCTGTCTGCGTCCGGCAAACAAACCGGACAGAAGCTGTGGCATCTCCACTACATCATTTTGCTCGAGCTTCATCTGACCCGAGAACTCAAGGGATGAGGCCAAACGACCTAAATAAATATACACGTCCTTCTCAAGCGGTCCAAAGGAAAGCGGTCAAAGGTCAAGGATGTCATTTTTTCTTGGATGGAAATGTTGTTCAGTTTCATGTTTTTTGCGCGAGGCAATTCAATTTTGTTGGCCAAAAATCAAGCCAACAAGGCACTTGCTTTTGGGTATGATAACTTGTAACGACTGTGCAGTACAGTTCTCCACCATTGTGGGCGCTGCTCATTCCTGCTTGTCAAGCAAGCTCGGATTGAGGCAATGTATCATCAAGGTGCAGGCACTTGTGTCTTTGAGTGATTTCATTAACCTCGCTGCTTTGCAAAAATGATCCCGGCAAGAGACCCCAAACAGTGTGTGTGTGAGGTCTATAGGCAGAAAGTCTAGAGATCCAGACAAATTGGGGTCCAGAGAGGCGATGGTGGTGATGAAGG